GTGCTCCTCATTTCTCCACAATTTCACGTACAAAACCAAATTATCTCCCTTTTTTCCTCAAACTTGCGTGGAGTTCTAAAAATTTGTTCGAGCGATTTCTGCGAGAGGAGAAAATGCGAATTTAGAGAATTTAGAGTTGTTTAGAAGAAAGTGAAGTGGAGGAGGAATGTGTGACGATATATTTGTTCGGCTAAGATATTTGGACGGATGAGATGCTACCACGAGGAGTCTGTGGATTGTCGAAATAGCCCCCAGCCTGTCGGGTGAGTGACGCAATTGATGACATAGTGTTATGCATTATTGTATCGAGCCTGAGGGACAGAGCAGCTGGCTGGCTGGCTGGCTATCTTTTGCCTTTCTTTTGGATGCACTTGCTTTCTTTATTAAATATTACAAAAATATTAAATATTTATTAGCGGTAATTATAATTTATTATGTCAATTTTAATTTTATTTAATTGGATATAGTATTTGATTCAATCAGGTAGCTGCATTTAATTTAGTTTTAAATAAAACAACTTTGATTGATTCTATTGACATAAATCGGTGATGCGACAATTTATAAATGATGCAATGGGCATCAATAATGAGCATTACTACTAAACGTCGTGGAGGGGCCTGTTATTATACGTGATCATTAGTTGCTACAAACTTCAGTGAAATAAATGACGAGTTTCATTTATTGACAACCAATACATGGACGTGTGTTAGCCTGGGTGACGAAATTGGAAGGAATTACCGAAATTGAACAAATTGAAGTACGATTACTTGATGACGCTAGAGTAAAGTACAATTACTATGAATGTAATTTACATGTTTATTAAGCGTCATATATTATCTTATTTAATATTACTAATCAAACATAACAATAAATAGCGCATAGTTAATGTGATTAATGAATTTGTCCCTACTCAGTTCAGCTAAAAAATTGAATTAAGATTCAAATCAAAATCAATAATTAATTTTAATCATACATTTCATAAGACCCAAAAAATTTTCGATTAAAAATTTCATTAACTTGTATCAAAATCTATTTAAAATCTGATTTTTATCTAAACCTAACATGCGATTATCAACTTAAGATTTTAAATGAGATAGTTAACAATTAACATGATATCATAGTAAAAAAAAAAAAAAAAAAATTAAGTTTGATTGCTTTTGCCATTTGTTTATCAAAAATTTGCATGTAATAGAGAGTACAAGAGAATAGAATGGGATAAAACACAGCACTAAGAAAAAAGGTGAGAAGCAAGAAATAAGCAATTCGAGAATGTAAAAGAAGATGACACTAAGAACATGACTAGATTATAAATGTGTTGTACAAATACTTAGTTAAAAATCGTTCTAAAAAAAATAAAATTAAGTGAACGAGGTGACCTAAAGAAAATAGGTTTGGCATGGATTTTCAAGCTTGATATGGATAATGCTATAGGATAAAGTAGTAGTAATACCATATTTCAATTATCCGTCATGATTTATAATTTTTGAGGAAAGTTGTAGCAATACGATACATCAATTAATATCAAAATTAAAAGTCAGTTATTTGAGTGGATACTAGAGCTTTCTCGTAGAAGGAAAATGCTAAGTGTACATAATAAATGTACACAATGGATGACATAATGTGATGTTGCAACCATCCTGTCGTTGATGTGAAAGTGTCAGATTTGAATTAAAGATNTGATGTGGCAACCATCCTGTCGTTGATGTGAAAGTGTCATATTAGAATTAAAGGTGTGGATCTATGTCACGTGCAATTTTGTAGACCAATATGTACTTGTAGCATCACTCCTCGTAGAATAGATAGAAAATGCAAAGCCTGAAATTAGAATAAGTCTAAAGGAAGTGCAATTGTTATAACTTAACCCCTATTTAATGGCCATTATTTTGAGAAAATTGAGTTTTAAATAGTGATTTTTTGGAGAATGTGTGATTAAAAAATATAATTTTTTTCCTGAAATTACATGCAAAATATTTTATTTTGTAAATGAGTGGTTAAAAATAAGTATGAGAATTAAAGAGTTCAAAATAATAGTTGTCAAACAGGGACTTTAACTTTTCAAACTTGATTTTGAGTGATACGCGGAAAATTGTATTATTGATATAGATTATAATTTTTAGGATAATACCCTATATTGTAGGTCATCATTGGGGAGTTGAGATTCGCGGTCTAATTTTTGCTGTCTAATTTACTGTCCATTTAATTTATTATTGACACGTCAATTTAAATTAACATGTCATCAATTGGTGGGTTAGTGGCGAAGTTAATGATGGTAATTTGAGATGATATGTTAATTTAAAAATAACATAGGAATAATTAATTTGTTAGACAATAATTTGGACAGCAAAAATTGAACAGCTAATCTCAACTCGTCATCGAGTGTAGAATTTTGATGAGTATTCTTAACTCTGTTGTCCAACATGGTCTTTAAACAAATTCATAGTTATTCCTTTACATGTTGGGAGCAAAACAAATGAGTGGGAATGTTTAATGGAGAGGAATAAGTCAAAATGGAGAAAAGCACGTGCTTAGTTTTATTGGAGCAGACAAAATGGTAAGTGGGCCCACTATCCTGTGCGAATGGGACACGTCGGATATGTCACCCACTCTCTAAACCTTGCCGCAAGTGTTATCGAGCCACGCCTCGAATTTAGCTCCCGTTTGATAATCATTTTTTTAGAACTTTCTTTTCGTTTATTTTTCCTATTCTTATAGTTTTTTTAGAGTGAATTATCTTGAATTAATTTACACTGAAAACAGAAAGCGTAGAGAAATAGGAAAAAGGACAACAACGTTAACTGGCCAAACAAAAAGTAGGGCCAATGCCCAAATTGCCAATTCGTTCGGATTCGGAAGCATCTCACATGTGTCATGGCCCAAGACATATCACAATTCACACCACTGTGTCTTATATTAGCTGTTACACTACAGATTTTGGGTAAAATTAAAACCTCTCTATCCTTATCTATATCTTAAATACCACATGGACGCGTTAATTTCATACTATCGGTATCTTTTCATCTTTGTCTTTGATTTTACTAGGTCGATGTCTATACTTCTAGTTGTGTCCCTTTCAACTTGCCAAAGACGTGATGTATTTTGTTATATATATGGCATTGTAATTTATAGTATATCACTGAGTTGTTTGATACCTCAATGACGACACATCATATTCTCGGTATTGTGATGTCATTAATGGTGATCGACTAGACAACATGATCTGTACACTAACATGAGAACATGATACATTTGTGTTTATGCTCTTTTTAAAATCGTGCTGTTAAGGAGCATTAAATGACTTCTACATCATGCCGATAATGAGCAATTCAAGGTGTTAATTTATGCAACTATGATTATTGATAACTGCCTTTTTGAATGAATATCTTGAAGATGAGGTTTGCATTGAACCACCACTTGACTATGAGGTGCAATGAAAAGAAAAATAAGGTTTTAAAACCAAGCACAGTATGTTATAGTAGAATTGATAAATACTTTCAAGATAATAATTTCACTGAGGTGATTAATGAAGAAGGGAAACACTTTAATTATTTGCTTATATGTCG